GACACAGAGTTGGAAAAATAGTAAATGAAACTCATTGGTAGTAAGTACGAAATAACGACCGTGTTAACCAGTAGTTTTGTGAGCACAGGAACTAATGAACAGGAACACATTCTATAACCAGCAGTTGAATGACATTTTAGTTGAATTATATTAAGGCTGCAGCGTGATTTCAGTCTTTATAACACATAAAAGAATCCACAGAGAAAAGCCCCGACTAAGGAGCGAATTCTCTGGTATCTGATGAGACATTAAACACTGTCGAAACTTTTTTCCTGCAGGTAGGGTACTCGGGCTGCTCTCTCAGGTCTGTAGTGACCAGTAAGAGTTAGATCTAGCGTGAGCCTTACCCTCACTGCACACATTCACGGTACCTCCTGTCCGGCTTCCTATTTGTTGAATTCTGGACTGCCAGCTTTCACAAAACTTATGGAAACTTCAGATAGCAAAACTTGTTTAGTACCACTTGTTTCATTTGCTTGAAATTCAAAAGCGAATGTAAAATTTAAAGGTAATAACAAGGCATTCAAAAAAATATTTTGAGAACCATGATCAATGTAATGCCACATAAATCAGCACTGCTGTCAGAAAGAGCAGCCCTGCCTTCCTCTCCCTCTCATCTTCAGTTACTCACCCCCTGCATGCTCCACCTTCTCCTGCTTTTTGTTGGTGGTGGTGTACATACAGCCACTCAGCGAGCCGGATCAGTCTGAAAACTACTCCAGGAAAAAAATGGTTAGTTTTAAACTAGGTTAGTTTGCCTAGTCCCAGTGCGAGATGGGGGCAGAGGTGGCTCTTCTGGCAGCACGGCAGCTCTATACCAGATTGAGTATAAAACTGCCTGGATCCTGACAAGTTTAGTGCTAAATTTGGTATTCCTTCATCTCTGTCACCTGCGAGGAAATGGTTTCAGGTAGCGAACAATGGGTCACGCTGCGTACAATATATGGTAATTCCTGCTTGCTTTCATGACCTGTCCAGAAAAAAATAATAATTAAGGCTACTGCTGTTGCCTTCTCTTTTATACAAGTAGAACAAGAAAATTTAACTAGGGTGCAGAATCAACGTTCAGTCTCTTCTCCTAGGGCATTTGTCTGAAAAGACCAGTGACTGCAATGAACAGTCACTGGAGAGGGCTGGATAGCTCATCCCAGGCAAGCACCCTGAACCAGCCTGAAGACTGGCGCTCTCGCTTGCCCCTTCCCTCTCAACGAGCTTAAAGAATTCTGTACTTTGGCTGGCAAACAGCTGTGACAGCAGAGAGTGAGTACACACATTAAGAGTAGCCTGTACTATGGTGGTGCTGAAGTAGTCTTCTGAAATGTCTGACATGGGGGCTTGTTTCTGCTCAGGCCCATATGACTCACAATACGGGAAAACTGCAGCGTAAAGTAAAATTCAGTGAAAACTGCAGGGGAGACCCAGGAGAAGGCCACCATCACTGTTTCGAAATAAAAACGTATCCTGTGCTTTGTTAAATGTTGGAAGAAAGGACTTGGTGCTTACCTTGATGTATGGTCTCAGTGCTGTGAACCCCGAGTGGAAGGAGGCACCCTGGGCCCGCAGAGAGCGGGAAGCCTTAGCTCCAGCGAGGAACCGCGTACACAAGGCATCTTCCATCTGTAGCATTTGCCACTGACCGCTCTAACCAGTTTCTGGTTCTGCCTGGTAGTGACTCTTCACATGCGGGTTTTTTGCTTTGCTTTGTTTACTTATGTTTACTTATGTAATTTTTGCTTGTTGTGGACCCCATTTTAAGGCACCTAAATCTTCCTGTGCATTGTTCAGGGAGTCTGGACATGAGGCTTGAACAACAAAGTGCTCAGTCCTTCTGGGAATCTGCGTCATGGCGATTTCGTTTTTCCCCACATACGGAAGAGTTAAATCATATAAATTTCTAGTAGAAATATTACTGTAATTGAAAATTTATTTTAAGTTTCTAATGTCACTGAGTAGGTACAGTTTACGAAAGCCAAAGTCCTTTTTTGCTACATTAAAAAGAATAAAGAAAACCCCCAACATAGCTCCATTAGAAACACCCTCAGCACTCTCACTAAATTTAAGAGTGCGTATGCAGAGAATACAGAGCAAACACTTGTGTTCTGCATATTCTCTAATTATGATTTCAAACACCAATGTCAATAGGCAGGAAGTTTCTTCAAAAGGCAGAGAGCACCCCACCTCCACCGTACTGCTCTGAAGGCCAATAATGAAAGCCGACACATCGTACAGGATTCCATTCATTAACAGTAATTCCTTAAGACTTAAAACTAATGCATTAATCACGTTAATGATAATCCATTAATGTGAAGAACCTGAAGATAAAAAGGTAGAATCAGGGATACGCTGTGTAGCAAGTGTTACAGTTTTAGGGTAATACTGAATTACAAAATTAGCCTGTAGACTGACTAGAGGATTAACCGTGTCAGCAGAGCATGTGAAGTGAATACCATGGTTTAGGAGAGCAGAAAATGATGGCATAGAATATTAATGTTTCTACACAGGGACTGGTTTGCACTGAGGGTGTAATTTGGAAAGGTGACTCTAGATGGTTGCTTCTTGAAATCAGGCCCAAAGTACTTAAGGACCAAAACCATAAATGTTTTATTTAAAGAGTGATACACTTGTTTACGTTGTGGCAGAACGATCCCTATATACTGATCTTGATATCTTTATATCAGAGGGCAGTAATGCCACCACTTTGAACACTTTCAGTTAATTATCACCAGAACGTTTTGATAATGACAGTGTATTTTGCAATATGAACAAAATGGGGGGGAAAAAAAAAAAAAAGTTTAGAAAAAAAAGGCCAAACAAACCCTGGGAGCACTGACTTCAACAAGTTCAACAAATATTCAAGCCACATTTAATAACTTTATGAAACTAGTATCAAAGTAAAGAATATATAGTCAAAATACAGAAATAAAGTTGAGTGAGAGGAAACAGCCTGATGAGTTCAAACAAAAGTTAAACAGAACAGATTAATATAAACAAGTTAGCTGAAAGGTCGCTTTGCTTTCTGTAGCAGTATTTCAGCAATTCCTTTCCTCAATAGCCAGCTTAGAAGGAAGAGCTAATCTGAAAAAAAAAGATATGCATCACTTTAAAATCCTGCTGTATGTGTTACTGTGATTGTTTGTAGAAACAGCATCACCCCAATTTGCAACCTATGATGTCAATTTCTTATATAATAAACATAGTGGATTTTTTTTTGGTAAGAAAACAAAAGTTCAGAATGAAGTGTCTGCATTCAGCTTTCCATTACACATACATTTATCTTTCTGTTGGCTATGAATTCTTTTATTTGTGAACTGCAAATGATTAGAATTTGCTCACACTTCCAAACCTTTTGTTTGTCATAGGTACTTCACTTCTAAAAGTGTCTGATGTAGCACTCGCTAAGTACAGAATTACAAAAGGTAGAATAAGGCTGTCCCCGCTCAGAAATTTGCATTTTTGGTAAAGGTAACAATATATCGGCTTCACTAACACCCTAATAATAGGCATACATTTAACTTTCTATCACCATCCTTCGAAAGAAAAAAGGAAAGACTAAAAGATGTGTGCAATTGGGTTTTGCTTAGTATAAAATTTGCAAATCAGAACTCATTTTGCTACGATAAACACTATGAATTACATATAAACATATGTGGAAAACAATGTGCCAGGCTTTAAAAAAGAAGTTTGATTAGCAGATGACGATTCTGTAGTGCTATTGTGCACTATCCTGTAAGCCCAGAGACTAAAAAAAAAAAAAGCAAAAAAAATTACCCAAACCAGCTTTGATGCAGGTTTGGCATCAAGTGTACGTTATGATCTTAGACTCAGTATGCTCATTCTGTGGTTGAGAAATTTAAAGTACCAGATTTTTCCACATCAGATAGCAGATAGTTGGTGCATACATTTCAGACAAGAGAACTAGGGTTTCTTTAATTTGAGACGGGATCAGTAATCTATTGTTAAAATGTCCAAAGTGTGCAATAATAAGGCAGATTTCTTATTACACCACCTCTTAAGATACTCATTGTTTGATGAAACAAACAAGGTGCTTTAGAACAGCAGAGTAATAGGATACAAACAAGTGCCAGAATGAAGGAAAACTGCTAAAATGGGAACTGCCCTTTCTTTCACAATGAGAAATAAAGAACTTTTGTATCTGGTATTTGAAAGGTTTTTAACAGCTGATATTCAATATCAGCTGATTCCTGAAGTGTTGGCAAGATACCAGGTTTCTGGTACTGGCCATTTCTAATGTTACTTAAATATTCACATCATGCAATAAGCAGTTTTACACACTGCAATGTAATGGAAAATACTTCCTAAACTGAATCAGAACTGAGACCCAAAGCAGAACCAGTAAATAAATATCTCGCATATATGTCAAACTATATTCTTCAAACAAAACCTTACATCTTATCAAAGAAGTCAGAAAGTACTAACAAAAATTATATGCTTTCTACTATAATACTGTTAAATTTCCATGGCTGAGAATGTCCCGTTAATTTTTTCTGCCTTTTTAAATTAGTTGACAAAGTAGAAATTCAAACACAGAAATAAAATGCATATATATGAGAGCACTGGCTCAGCGAGATATCAAATATACAGCATTCTAGTGTCAAAAGTACAGGCAGAATTGTCCAAGATTTCTTGGTGAAAAAGGGGCATTTGAGGAGTAAAAATTCTACTTAACAATCACTCACATTTTAACAGTGCATTAATTATAACAAAAGCTGGATGATAAGTGAGCAACAGAGTCATAATGTTCAGTGTTCATAGCAGAATTTTATCCTCTGCTCATTTAAATGAGGTTGGAAACATATACTCATGTATGTGAAACTTTAAGTAGCTATGTTTTTTCAATTTTTCAGGATTCTTGCAAGAGGCAAAGTTGTGACACTGAATTGAGTTGGATGATAGTACAAGGTGGCATGGACAGAAGTCTTCCTTTCGACGCTGTGCCTCTGGCTTGTCAAAGGATGATTAGTCCTACAATCTTGTTTGATCTATTCTTTTGCCTCTAGGAAAAGGGTTTCTTGAGGATACAGTTTTACCTCCAGTAATGATTTATTTGGATCCAGCTGGGTCACCTGTAAAGATAAGAACAAGAAGATAGGTGTAAGTAGACTTTTTTGAACTGTTTATCTTCACAGGGCAGATTTTCACTGAGGAGGTTTTTGAGTCCTTCTGTCAGGGATAACTGAAGTTGTGCGTATGAATTCCCAGGATGCAGATTAAGAAATATAAATTGTATTTTGTGTGTTATTATTTTGTAATAACAATAAGCATAATAATAATAAAGAGAATCCATGACATTGATTCCAAGAAGGTCTGTTTTTCCATCATAAACCAATGCGTGAATATGTCTGGTTTGTTAAAGTTAAGATCTTTTGGAAGGATTACTAGAACACATGAGTTAAGATGAAAAATAAAACTGTAGTCCCAGATAAGTATGCTAAAATTTCAATCAAACTGATGGTGCAAGCAGCATAGCCAATCCAACATGACCTCCCCTTTGAAAGGGGAAACTTATTCTGCCTTTATTTTCCTACTCCCTTCCTTGCTCCAAGTCACATGGTGAAGCACCTAACTTTCAGTCACTTTGATGCTTATCAGCCACCTCAGTGAACCGAGGCTGGGAGAAAACTGTCCACTTTTATGTGTTTGGTTATTTTTCTGTCATGCTAATGAGTTTAACTGGTGAACACACAAGTCCAGTCAACACCAAATCCAGTGCAAGGTAAGCAGCAAAAGCACTAAGCAGCAAGTAGAAGGGAGGAAGCAGGGCCCTCCTCCTCTCATTGGGAGCGAGATGCTAAATCAGCTCACCGTATGGTGAAACTGCATCTCAACTCAACTATTGAAGTGTATACTTATTATGCACGTGTGTATTATGCGTTATACATGCTATCTGTCTATATATCATTTATGTAGACACTTACATGTGTACGTTTATATTATAGGATCGTTCCCTGGAATCCTGACTCCTCGTTGGATTTGTAAAGGTATTTAGGTAATCACTTGTGCAGGTGAGCATACAGGAGAATTCCAGTGAGAGTTAAGTGCCATGCAATTTGGAAAATAATGATACAGGCACTATCTGCACCATTACTGCCAAAATTCTTCAGCTTTTGGATATCGGCACCGAACCCTACAAGCTGCTCAACATCTTGACTATCCCATTACCGATTTTCACCTAAGCCCCGTAAGCAATTCTCAGATTATAGTCAGCAAGAAACTTCTGTGTTTTGGATTCTGTTTAGAAGCTAGACTGCTGCCTATAGGATAAATCTCTTCTATGAAAATAAAATTTAATTGTATATATTACCTAATATAATTATTCATATAGACAAAATAATGGCAACAAGGGTCCTAGTGTCCTTCAGACATTCAGGTTTACATGCCAACGCTGTGACATCCTTCAGAAGACTACTGCAAAGCTTCAGCTAGAAAGATGAACATTATTTCTTTTAATCTTACCATAATCTGAAGTATTTCACTTCCATTTTTAAACTTATTTTCCCTGGTAATTCTATTTTAGTTTATTTTGCTGTGTGGGCACACTAGTTATCAGAAGTTTGCTGGTGAATAATAGATTATTAGTCTTATGCTATAGGTTTAGATGCAAATGCACACCAATAAACATTTTTTCCAAAGTTAAATTTATCTATGATCATATCATGCCACTGCTTTCTAAAATTATTTTTTGAAAACATTCGGCGTCAAGCACACCAAATATTATGAATTAATACGAAATGCTAAATGTATTTTTTTCTTAAAAGCATAACTTCCTAATTCTGTTACCAATTAACGAAAACAGTATTGCTCCTCTTTCTCTCCCCCCCAGCTAAATCGGGCAAACTGAAAATATATTTGTATTTCCATTGTTTTATAGGATAATTACAGAAAATTCATTATTTAAACAAATATTAAAAGCTTATCTCTTCCTAAGTCCATCGAAATCAATGTAATTTCACCTCTCTGGCTGCAACAGAATTTAAAAAAAATAACAGAATTAAAAAAAAAAAAAAAAAGAAAAAAGAAAAAAGAGATGCATTATTGATTCCCAAAGCAGGAGCTTATTTTCTTAAACTTCATGTACCACGGTGAGCTATTGCTAAATCATTCCTGCACAGATGCTGCTTAAATTATTGAAAGGTTATTATCTAAGAAAGCAAACCCGTTATGTAAAAAACAGCCAAAGTAGTGCATTTAAGTTTGTGATTACAGAAGTATGCTAATTAAGTATCTTGTTGCATTTTTTAATGTTTTTGTATTCTGCTACAGTCCATTATTGCACATCGGCACAGAAAGCGAGGTAAATAGGGGTCTCTGCAATTCACAGCACATGAGGTATTGTGCACCTGAGAAGCAATTTTCCTTCTTTTCAGTTCAAGCCAGTATCTAATTAGACCTCTCTATTTTCAAATCCAGCAACCTTTTTTTTTTTCAAGAAAAGCTAGGAAAGACAGAACAAGTCTCTTCTACATTTGGAAAAAAAAATCTGAAAAGCAAGCCTAGGCAATGAACACAATCTTGCAGACTGTAACCATATGGAAACCTATTATTCACTTGAGTGTAATTCAAGATACATATCCTAGTTTAAACCCCAAGGTTTGCAAACTTCAAGTACCTTAAATAATAACAACACATGATGTCCCCCTTCCTGAGTGTCTTCATAGTTAGAAGGTTAGCTAAAAGCATTTTGGAGTACCTGCAGCAAAAGGACTGTGCAGCTTTTCACCATAATTTCAGTGTGCTGCTTAATTCACTGAGGGACAGCAGAGTTTGCAAATGTTTACACCATTACCCAATTAACTAACAATATGGCTCCTACATCTGTCAACAAACAAAGCTGTTGTTGCTTTGTTTTAGCTCCTTGGCATTTTCTGTTCATACGGGTCGCCATTGTACTTAATTATCACACCATAACCCTTCTGCAGCTTCTACTTTGTTATTTGTGGTTTGTAAATATGTTGTTTACTACAAAGAATAGAAGCCTTATTAGTGAGCACACCTCCTACAAAAGAAATGGTTTCTCTTGTAAATATATGAAATATAAGACCTAAGATGCTTTGTAACTTAGAGTATTTTAAAACAGAATTAGAAACCAAAGAATGATATATAATAGAGATCAGAGGGCCCTGGAAGAGCTGTAGCCCACAAAGGTGTGTCCAATGTAGTGTTTTAATGAATTTTATTCACTTAAATAAATTTATGTGGATTATTTCATAGTGCAAAGTATTAAAATACCTTCATATTTCAATCTGTATACTTTGTTTCATTACCATTAGGATAAATTCTGGAGTCAACTTCAGTGCTGACAATCCTTTGCTCTGATGTCATTGCATGGCGCTCTTTTCAAAACAGCCCTGCACGTTATGTAAGTTACATTGTCCAAAACCCCTACACCATTATTATTTAACGATTTTTTTATATTGTTGGCAATTACACAGGAAATCATTTAAGCATGTGTTTATATACTGAATCTGATTTGATCCTGTTGAACTCAATGAGATTACATAGGTACTCATGTGGTGAAATCAATACTTTCTTCATTAAGGTTGCAAAATCCACCAAATTAAGCGTTCAGCATTTGTCAAAGGTCTAAGCAAATGCTAAAAGCATAGTGTTTCTCTACATTTTCAAGTCCTACAATACCTGACTTTCTACCAGTCACATTCTAAGAGTCCACTCACACGTCACATGGTGATACCAGCTGATGAGGTGAATGTATTTTTGAAATATATGTTGTGGTTTTGCTAAGGTAAGTACTTTATAACGAAATGTAAACTAAAGGCCCTTAAAAAGAGGCTCTAAGCTGTTCCAAATTTACATAGTGAGGAGGGTGGCAGAGGAAGGACACAATGTTCAGATGCTAAGAGAGTATAACTCAAGTGACCACAAAATTACTGATATTCAAGCTCATAGAATTCTGTAGAATAACATGCATGCGCTTTCAGGGCTGTCCCAAAGCCAAAGCAGATAGTGCCCTGGGAATTTTCATCTTCAGGCAAATGACTTTCTATGCAGACTTTAACACTCCCCTCTCTTCAGGGAAGACTCTTTCTAGCAACGTGACCAGAGGGTGGTAACAGGACCTTATTTCTATCAGTGTGAGATCTTGCCATTGAGTTATGAAGTGTTTCGCTTTCACTGAAATACATTTAAGTTGGTAAAACGGTACTTTTCTTCCAACTAGGGATACTCTTTTACAGGTGGTTTGGTGCACCGGAGCCAAGACTTCATCTTTTAATGTAAAGAGCTTCATTATATAACTGGTGTTGGTTTGGTGCACAGGAAATGTATCATTTTAAACGGTATTTGTTTAAATGAATTCTGTGGTAATTATTTCAACTAAGCACTAGCTAGTTGGTTTGAAGTACTTCTGCAGCACTTTGAAGTCTGAATAATTTAAGATGCCCGAACTCAAAAGACAGTAATGTTAACTCTTGTAATTCTCCTGTAAGAATGTAGTAGCTGCTTACACTTTATTCTGAGTAGATTCCTTGGTTTTTTTAATGACCCAATAATGAAAATTAATACTAGTTTAAACAACCTTTTAATACGTTTTTGTAGCAAAGTCTTTTTCCTTCTAGAACAATTTTTGTATTTCTATCTTCACCTTTGCTGACCTATCTGTTCTATTACACATTCACATCCTGAACAGCTGTACTTTTACCATTTCAAAGGTGTGGTTCCTTACCCTCCCTAACTCTGCAGGGAAAAGATAAATACAAAAAAATGGCTTAATGCCCAGGAAGGTCATTTAAAAGTAAAGAATCGAATACACAATTATTATGACACTTACACAAGCAGTAAATATCACACCCTTCACCTTTCTCTACACCCTAGGACAAGGATCTGATTCCTGAGTAGCACAGCCTCTATGCCACTTACACACGCATGAATACATTTAATGAATCTAACGGACAAAGGGTTCTTTTACTCTCTTTCCTAATCCTCCTAAAGTATAAATGCAATAGAAATTACTTAAAGGCACACCTGGTAAAGCACTAGATCTGTTTAAAAAAACCCATATGTCAGAATGACACACAAACAAATACAGTGAATCCTTTCTACCTATTGA